TATAATATCTACTTGCGTTCAATTAAAATTAAGAACATAAACAAAATAAAAAAAATTTAAAGTTCAATTGAGTACGCGTTGCGACCTTTCATCCTCCAGCTGAAATAATTAAAAAACTTAACGTGTACTTATATAATTACAATATACATTTATATAATAATGCTATGTCAAAGATATGAGTACATCACATTCAATTTATGATACTGTTTAGCCCAACAATCGTTGGCCTTAAAATATTTAAAGCAAAATTACTGCAGTCTATAATACGTACTATTAGACTATACAATAGTATGTAACAAAATTAAAATCTGTTTTTAATCTATCAGTCACTTGCACAATTTTTAAATTAGAGTTATAATCAAGCTATTGTAAGCACGCTTGGACCTTCTCGATCCATTCTTGCGCAGTCGCTGCATCGCCAGCACAAAAATTGTACGTTCGTCTGTTTGTACGAAGCTATGGACAGAAATTTTTGTATTATTATTTTCTCTTGTTTTAATTGACGTCTAAAACATAACAAAAAAACATTCAATTTCTTACATCGAAAAATGATTTATCATCTGTTTTCTTTGGTGGACCTGGCATTGGTTGAGCCGGAGTTACAGATACTACTTCAGCTAAATCTGCAACACTTTTTTTTTTAGTACAGATTTCGTTTAAAAAGATTCGAGGTTTTCAGTTTAGTCCTTACGTACCTATATATCCTTTGCAATGCGAATCTTCCATTGCGTCGTAATACCTTAACTGATGCTTTATAGAGTCCAATACAAACCATCTTTGCTTCCAACCTTTAAGTAGAGCACCTCGTTTATAAAGGTATCCTTCGTGCGTTCTATTTTCAGCTACATTACTAGAGAATTGTTCGTAATATTGTTGTGAAGACGTTTGTATGGTGGTAACACCTATGCGCAAACGATCAGTGATTATTAAAACAATTTACGACGTTGACGAAAAAATTGTAATGTGCTCTATGTACACGTACTTGAATTTATACTCCCGTTATCGCCACCGCTTCTCGTCAGTGTATGCGTCTGTAAATTGTCAGTTACCGTCTTATATTTTGTACAATTTTTTGGTACTGCTTCGGCGCACTTATCGTGACAAACGTGGCCGCAGTCCACACATCGTAAGCCAGCTTTCACAGGTCCCCATAATACACCGGAACAAGCATCACAGTGAGTCGGTGTTGCTGAGTCTAATCTCTCAAATCTGTAAGAGAATATAAAGAATCACTCCGTACATTCCACTGAATTCATTATATGTTAAAGACAATATTATTTGTAAGAATTACCTATGAGGATGTGCGTAAACTGAACCATCGTTCCCAGACGAGCTTCCGCTAGCAAGTTTACCCCTTAAAAGTAATTCCAACGTAGAACGTTTATGAATCAATCGACCATGATATCTGACTAACGCAGTGCTAAATGACGCATGTCTCTGTATGAAAGATAAGAATCAATTATGCCATACTTAATAAAATAATTTATAACTTTTAAACTTTACTAACGGTAAGTGAATCTGTGTTTGGCAGTTCAAGTTTGTCCCAAAGAACTTTCCATTTCTGCGGTAAATGACCCAATTCAGTTTCTAACTTATGAATCTCCTCCAAAAGATAAGAAAATTGATCTGGTATCATTGAATTTATACCATCGTACCTGTAGGAAACCAAGAAATTAGTAGTGATAAAGGTAAGGGGAAATATGAAAGAAATGAAAATGCTTACCCCTGTGCCACAACTTTGCGATTGCTTTTAACCACGCCATCAGCAGCCTCTGCTTCTTCTTCTTGTTGTGAATCTTGCTGTAATACTTCTAAGTCGTATGCCGGTCCATGTGCCAACTCTTCTTCTAAATAATATTGCCAAATTTCAAGATTTGGCAAATGTGAAACAGGTCTTAGTACCGTATTTTCTGTGTTAGCAGTGTACATAAAATTATAGAACAATGGGCAACGTGCATGCTGTTTTTCGATATAGTCGAATATGCTTTGGCCAAGATTACATCCCGTATTCGTTCCCGCTAATCTACCCCCAGGATAAATAGTTTCGTCATCGCTGCCTGTATCTACACCTTTATGATGGCTCGTCAATGATCCTCTTTTATCCTCAACAGCAGTGATACCGCACTCCACTCGATCGAACTCGCAATCCAGTAGAAATGTGCGAAACCGACAAGATACCGAGTGATACGCCAGGAATTTTAAATAATATTCGTTGAATTCAAACGCTAATGGGAACTGTTTTTGAATTTGATGGACTACATCGAGGAACTGAAGGAAAGTAGGAGTGAAATTCGTAGTTTGGGAATTCGCTGCTAGGTTACTCCTGTGTCCGAATCTATGTCCAAATCCGAGCCATTCCTTTTCGATTAAAGTTCGGAATCCTTCGATAGTTCTGTAGTGAGGATCGAGACACACTTGAGCAATAGAACATACTGTTGCCGTTGTGTCCCAACCTTCTTCTAAACAGACAGCTACTGAGGAGCCTTGAACATCCATTAAGTCTATTACAGCACCAGCTAATTGCATTAAATTTTGAAGTTGCTGTAACCATTCCGAACTTTCGATTAATCTGAAAGTTAATATAATAATATTAATAATAATAATAATAATAATAATAATAATACTTTTCATTAAAAACTAAGAAAATAAATATCATCTAAATAAAATATACATACTTATAAAAGCTTTGGTCAGGCTCTACATTTGGAGAGCTAGGAACACAGGCACGCATGAGTTTCTTAAATGCAGCTTTGGTATGCCTTACATCATAATATTCCACAGGAATAAAGTCTGTCTTCGGTGCTGATTCTGCTTTAACGCCCTTTTGTAATTAAACGAAAAATGTTAGATAAATGTCGAGACACACGTATACAAAAACCCGTAATACAAAAACAACTCCACAGAGTACTGACTTTCATATGGGCTTTCTCGCCAAGAATATACAATGCAGCGCGTTGGAAAGTATGAACACATTCCGTGCCGCTGTCCGAGTCTGCAGAATGCCTAACAGTTCCACGTTGATGAACCGAAGTTAATGAAGCTTGAGAACTGTGTCTTTTATCTTTTAGTGAGCCCCAACGACCGAAATTCTTAGGCCCTTTACCTCCCGACGAACTGCAAAAGAATATATATATATATATATATACAACTATTACGTAATTAATTTCTTGTATACGTTTCTAAAAGTCTGAAATACTGAGAAAACATATACCTTAACGTTCCAATAGCCTTGTTAAATGGATTTCGTCGCGACTGTTCCGGTGTAGCATTACGATCTTCAGCAGCTAACAATAACGAATCAATACTAAGAGAACTGTCAGACATTCCCCAAGCAGAGCCTTGTCTTAGTGCCGATAACGGAGTAGCTGACACAAGAGCCATGAGATATTTCTCTTGCTCCAACGATGACGTGGTTTCTGAAGACGTTGCTATGAGTATAGACGATAATTCATATATAATTGAATATAATAAGAAGATATAATGAGACATAAGTTGCTCGAGCAACTTTGAAATAATTACCTTTCAAATTACCAGTGGTTGCTGGATGAGCTTTCAGCATACCCATGACACCTTTCCCGTGGTAACCGGCGCCCCTGATCAAAAGCGCTTTTGTTCTCGGATGCCTCCAAGTAACAACAGGTAGTCTGTTGTGCCTGTACAGCCGGCAAAATCTACGAATACTTTCATCTGATACTGATGAGGGAACTACAAGAAGGGCAGGGTAGCTTCTGCAAATCTTGTAGGCGCAATTCACAGAAGATAATCGAAAAGGCTCGTTCCTACGGTTATTGTGTGGTCCATTCGAATACAATCCTAATCGATACCAATCTCTCACATAACTGCGTTCTGACAATCGTTCCAAGGTTTTCGCGTCTGTCACCGGTTGAGTTACAACACCGGGAATCTCAAAATCATCTACTATAAAAAAATTGACGAGTAATCTTTGGAAGATGGAAACATATAGACGATATGAACGCATCGGGCTTACCACTAAGATCATCATCGTGGCTTAGATCATTATTATCTGTTACTGGTAAACTCATTCGACCCGGTGATGTCATGTACTTATTATTAGTAATTATATTCATATTTGGCAAGACATACTTCTGTCGTTTCGATGATTGTTTCGGTTTAAAACCAGCTTTTCGTGCAGTCTTTAAAAGTGTTTTCTTAGCGAACCCTCTAGAAAATAAATAAATTTTATTATACCGAATGACGAACGGTGAACAATTTAAGGATGTATTGGCTATACAGTCAATCCCAAAAATTTATGTACCTTAGAAAAACGCATTTCCTATANGGAAATGCGTTTTTCTAAGGTACATAAATTTTTGGGATTGACTGTATAGCCAATACATCCTTAACTGAATAATTACTTACTTAAGTGTAGCATTCTTTTCTTTCCCCTTGTGGTGTGAAGTCTGAGGAACTAACACTTGACCGTTGAAAGCAAAATGATGAAAAATATTTGGTGGATACCGAGCTTTATGAACCAATTTTCGTAATGTTTCGATATTCTCAAGTGTTACTTCTTCGTCAAAAGCTAATTTGATTAATTGAAAAGAACAGGACCGCAATTGAAGACCTTCTTGTAAACATTGGTCTAACTGTGCTGAGTGTTGCACAGCGACTCGTTTCTCTTTAGTTAAGGACGTTACAGGGAAAGCTCGAACCACCAATTGTTCGCTAGCAAATGGATCACATGGTATTCCTTTAAACACAATTCTATAATTAGTAAGGAAAATCGCTCCTTCTGCTGGCAAGAGAGGGGGTATCTTTGGTAATACTGCGGAACTTTCTTCTCTTCCATCGGGCAAGAGATAAACACGTAGACCGTCCATAATAACTTCTTCACCCGGTAACATATTAGGTGTCAGAATTTTAGGCTTCTGTATCTGAGGTAATCTCTTGCTCTCTCTGTGTATAGCTTCGAGCGTTTCAATGTGCATATGAACAACGCCAGGAACCATCTGGTGTAAGCACCTAACATGTTCTGTACTTACACCTCCTTCAGTGCATACACGATCTACAAATCGTGAAACCATGCGAATAACAGCACTACCCGTTTCTCCAGGGTCGGTTTCCTCAAATCCGGACTCAGCGTCACCACTATCGCTTGCTACACTATTTGTAACGCTGTTGCTCGCCCTTTCATCGTCATAAATATTATCTTGACGATGCGTTTTCGCTCCTATATCTAACGGGACCAATAAATAAACCATCCTATTTGCATAATGAATCGCTTGGCTGTACATAGTACTTTCTTCACTGGCAATAAGTTCCTTTTGTTTTTCTGGATCCATCGTCGGCCAAATTCGCATCTGCTCAGCAGCTATTTCAAGCGCCGATGGCTCTTGAATTTGATAAATTGAAAAACGATCGCGAAACGGAAATTCTATGCCATCGCGTGGACTGATCGGACTTAAAATACCATCGTTCATAAGCCGTGGCGGGGAATTCTCCCCAGGTAGATATAGTCGTTTAATATCTTTCTGTACGTCCAAATAAAAAGCATCCTCCCAGAATTGTTGATTCTGCCATACGGGATGCTCTTGGATGCATGTGTAAGCGAACTGGATTACTCCCGTACACAGTTTTCTACAAAACGCTGTGGCAAGTGGTAGAAGTGCAGCAGCAACTCCATGCTCGTCCATGGATGAATCGTCTTGCAGTGCACAGTTCATCAATCGGACTACGTGATCGAATTGCTGATGTTCCAGCATAGCTTTATTTCCAACAACGTGCTGTGATAATTCCATACAAAGCGCTAATCGGGCTGCTTTGCTTTTCAATGCTCTTAAAACAGCTGGAAACGTTTTACGGGCATCCGATATCTTATTCTCAAATATACAATTTACACAATTACGGAGAACTTCCAGTCTACGTGCAGAGTTGCTGACCAAATGTCTAGTGTCATGGACAAACGATATATGTGGACCCATAGGTACAATGCGTGGCTGTGACGGTCTCAGTGACGATAATCTGCAAAGAACGTGCATTGAACGCAAACAGAAAACACATCACAGTTGTAATATACATTTAAAAAGAAATTAAACATATTTATATTACAGACCTAACTTTCAGATTATTTTTGGCAAGACCCTCGTCTATAATTGCTTGAACTTGTTCCGGATTAATTCGTGGCAAAAGCGGCTGATGTATTCTCGCAAACGCTCCTTCAGGTGGTTTTAAGATCTTTTGTACATACGGCTGAGGATTTGGATTTTCATTTGTATATAATTGTTGCGCCAACTCTTGTATATGTGTTAAAATAAGTCCTAGTATGAAAATAATGTTCATTAGACTAGACAAAATGTAATATACACATACTTCGTTATCGTCAATTGTAGTTTGCTTTCATCGCTTACTATGATCTTGTGTTTCTTGTTTCAATTGATCGCCTAAATTATTATATAATTCATCCCATACGTCGCAACACCTCCAAGGTGGTCCCCTTTCTGCAATAAAGGAAGTAAAAAACATGCAATCCAAAACTCTAGTTGTAAAATCGCAATCTGTCAAGCCACGTTCTCCTAAGAAAGCTGCCTAGAAATAAGAAGTACAATTTATATGCTTCTCTCGTATCTCTGCACGCTATAAGTATGAAGTCAGTGGCAATTAAAGAACCTTGTGAAATGTTATGACAGGCTTTGGATGAATCCTTATCAATGTTAGGCAACTTCTATATCCTTGCAATAACTGAGCGAACGTCCTCATGAAAACTGCTCGTAATTCTTTGTCTAACATCGGAGAGTGAGGTGCTCTTGTCGCCAACGGTGGGAAAGCATAATCTGCACAAGCCAACTCTGGTTGCAAGACTAGAGATAGTGCTTCTTGCGTTTGTGAAAGAAGTGGCTCTGGAAGCAGTGGTAGTGAAACTCCATCTGGGACCATGATAGCCCCTCCATCTAGATCAGCAACTATTACGTCCATCTACGAAAGAAGTGTAACATTTAATAAAAACGTTATAACAATCTAATAAAATATACATGGTTCCAATAAAGTTCTTACGAGTTCTGCAACTTCGTGTTTCAGTGAACTGTGTACACCCATAATAAATGGAGTCGGTGTACTGAGTATTTCAACTAAAGCTGCTGGTAAAAGAGGAATGTAAACGTGTGTGTATCTGAATGGATACATTAATGCGGTAAGAGCACGACATCCTTCGGTTAATCGCGAGTAACTGGCCGAATGAAAAAGTATTTTGTGTTCTGTCATAACAGCACAAAATAATACTAGTACGTTACGAATACCTATTAAAAGTGCACAGATTTAGTTGAAAAGATGACGTAGAAACATATTCATAATAAAATTCTATTCTTACCTAGTTGTTGAAATAAAAGGTTCACGCTACTGTGCGTTATTGGAAGAGAGGGGCTAATTGGAGGCTGAAGTGCTTGACGATCACCTGCACCAATGCTAAACCTTACTTGTGGTCCACCAGCAGGAGGTACTTGTATACAGCCTAATATATTTCCTACCAGAGTTTCTAATGGTATACCAAGATTTTCTACGTACACTGTGTATATAATACCAAGGCAATTCTAGAAAAACAGTGTAAGAATTTAATCGTTTAAGCATGCAGTAACTTTGACTCCGGTATACATGAAATTTGACATACTCTAAAAGTTTCAATGTAATCAAGTCTGGAAACCAGCACCAGACATTTAGGTGCATACATAATGCTGTGATGTGCAATTGTAGGCATTGTTCTAACCAAAGAACGGCTATCATTGTCGACTGGATCTTCTTCTTCATCTACAGGCTTACTTGGCACAATAGATACTGTCTCATTAAAACACATGCAAGCACAGTAATGTCGATTTGCATCAATGTCAGTTAAAATAGATACAAAAAACCTTGGTTCTTGTCTCTCTGTAGACAAAGCCCATCCTTGCGGTTGACAAAACTGTAAAATTTCAGGAGATTAATCGTAAGTAATACGTATTTGATAAAAAAATATTTTACCCATTCTATTCCTTCTATGAATGGTGTATCTGGCCAATCTTTTTCTGGGAACCTTTGTAAAATGATTCCATTACTTATGCCTCCTCCTATAACAATAAACAATATTGAACAACATGTAAATGTGATATGTATCACAAATTAAAGAATTGTCATAGAAGTATCTATATTTTCGTATCAGTATAAACATGAATAAATAAATGTTAAAAATTCATCAGATATTCAATGCACTTATGTTTTGCTTGAACGAGAAATGTTAGAATGCAGTTAGTAATTAAATGTTTGTCAGTCACGTATATTATCACGGATATTTTCGAAACATGAGTTCTATGGACATTTAAGAACTTACTCTCTTTTTCGTGATCGTAGCCGACCACAACAAAGTAGTCGGCTAACCGAGACATTTCGGTGTACTCGTGGGGATTCGTGGGGGTGATAGCGCCCAACATCCCACGTAGATTTTAATACACGTGATTTCATGGACCGTATCCTACCGATTAACAATCAACTACCTTGCGTCAACGTTTACATATAAATGCGCGTCAATATGCAAATTAGTTAAAAAGTATAATAAACATTCTCCGGTTTCTATTCTCCTATTCAAATGCCATATGTAAGTTTGTCATGGTAAAGCGCGAAAAGTGAGATATCGTTGGACGTGCATTTAAAAAATTTATTTTTTCGTTCAGAAATCGAATTTTTCAGGTGGTGGTTGAGATCTTAAGGCCGTCACGTTCACCGTTCAGAAGTAAAGTTCCATTTACGTGCGTCACGTTCGGAAAACGAATGCGTCCGTCATTACAGGATCGTGCGATATTCTTATTTATTTTATAAAACACAATATGATGCCACACCCCGAAGCTTTAATCCATAACCTTCCAAACTCAAGCGCCACATTGGGTGTTTGTTGAAGTTGAACCGCGTATATACGAACGAAAACGCGCCACAGATATACAAACGAAGAGACGAATGCGCTGTATAATTCGCGTTTTAATTTTACTTTTTTTGTCTTCTGCTTGGGTCACTGAGAATGCTTTAAAATCTGAAAACATACGCATTGTTAAAGACGGCCCTTCCGCTGCAACGACGTTGCAAGGTATAACTTTATACCTTGTTCATACAGCGATATCATTGCATAATTTATATATGTGCATGCGTGATTATTCGAATTCGGAATTTCGCCAAATTCAATAGACCATTCTTGGGTAAAGAAAACGTGGATCAAAATGTACGTACAACAGTACACTATTACTCAGTGTGTACAAGTAGAAGTAATTAATTTATTACATATATTTAGTATGAGATTTACTTTTTAGTCAAAAACTTTTGTCCAAATCCCTCTACATGTGTGTTAAACATGTTATTTATATATAAATTGTACATAAATATATATATATATATATATATATATCTGTGCGCAATGTTGTCATGAATGTCGTGCGTGAACATATGCAAACTGCAAATACATATATACAAACATACATAGGTACATACAGTATAGTACGTACGTAGTAAAGGCAATAAATACCCGGCAATACATATTTAACCTCGTAAGACTTGGCTTGTAGTGCTCTCACGTGGAACGAGTTAGATCTTGTTCGAATTTAAGTATAAAATTCACATTAAAACTACATTAGAAATTGTATGCACTTATGACAAGTATATGTATAATTCATAGCAGTTTTCAGAATGAACCGCAATTCATTTTTCATTTTTCATTTTACAGAACTTTAATAAATGCCGACATGCATAACATGAGCATTTCTGAAATTATTGCAGAAACTGCTCCAGATGCAAAAGTGGGATTCATTATTGCAGCAGTATTAGGTTACTGCATATATAAAATTATGACAATAGCAGCTAGAAGAAAATTGGAATCTTCTGCAGAACCCAATGATACAAATGAAATTTCAGATGTAGTAAGAAAAATAAAAATTACTCTATTTACATTTCTATATAATGAAGTTAAGAAACATATTCATTATAAATTTATTTATTTTCTTTCTAGGTAGATTCAGATAATTATAAGCTTATTTTAGTAATTAGAACTGACTTGAAAATGGGAAAGGGAAAAGTTGCAGCACAATGTGCTCATGCTGCTGTTGCAGCTTATAAAGCAGTTACAAAGTATCCCAAAGTTTTACAAGCTTGGGAAGAATGTGGACAAGCCAAGATCACTCTAAAGGTACATACATATATATTTCTTGTGATTGTAACAGCACATTACAAACTTATATTACATGCAATAATTGTTATGAAAATATTTAGGTGGATAGTGAGAATGCTTTGGTGGAAATAGCGAGACAGGCTAGAACTGTAGGACTTTTGGCGAATACTATACAAGATGCTGGACGTACGCAGATAAAATCAGGAAGCAAAACAGTATGTGCAATTGGTCCAGGCCCAGCTGACTTAATAGATCAAGTAACTGGTC